TTTCTGGATACATCATTGCTATTCTTCTTTATATAATCACCATCAACATGTTACATATTAATATATAACAAAATAATTATCATTATAATTTATATAGTGCTTTAAAGTTTGCAAATTTCTTGTATCATCTTTCATTTTATCCTCACAATAAACTTGGGAGGTAGGTGCTATCCCCTATTTATAGGTACTATTTATTTTATATGGTATATAGGGAAACTGAGGCAGAGGGGTCAAGTGACTTTCCCATGGTCACACAGCTAGGAAATGTTTGATGCTAGACTAAAACTTAGATACTTCTGACTCCAAGGCCAGAAATCTATCCATTACACCACCTTGTTAGTCTATAATGAGTATGTCTGTCATATTTGTTAGCCTCCATGGTATTTGGTTGAATTACCTCTTTTATCAGCTTTGCTATTTTCCTTGCATGCCAAACTCCATTTTCATTTTGAGGCCCTCCTGATTATTCATTAGCCAGTGTTCAGGAAAATAGACACTTCCCAGTCCTCTTTAAATATAACTCATCCTGATCTAAAACCTCTGATCTTTCTTTTTAAGGTTCCAAAGACAAATTCCTTTGTCAATCATTCATTATCCATATCCAAAAGGAGTAATGGAAACACCAATCTGTATCCCTAGATCCTTAAGTTTCCTTCTCAGGACTTCATTATCTCTGGAGACTCTTTCTAGGATTCTTCTTGGCTGGACCATTTCATAGATCCTACCAACAGTTCCAAAACTATGTTCTGTAGAATATTGGCTCTCTGAATAATGCAAATAAGGGTTCCTTATGAAAATTTCGATACTACTGAGATTTTTCTTTTAAAATACTTAATGTAAAATTATATGCTTCCCAAAATAAAACAAATTCAATTTTTCAATACAAAATAGATCAATTTCCTAAATTTTATGTGAATGTTCCATTATCTCCCTTACCTCAAGGGGATCCCATAATCAGAGTCTCTAGGTATTTATTTATGGACTCTGTCAAAATATTTCAAATCCCAATTTGTTCTCTGGCCAGATTACTTCTAGTAAATATGGATTCAGTTTAACTCACTGATAGTTTTAAAGCCCCTTAAAGTTACTGAAATTATAAAGGTATATTAATATTATGTATAATTTTCACAAACAAAACATTTCAAGAATAATTATCCAAGAGTGATAATACCCCTACTTTACATTTGAGGTCAAATTTCTCTGCTACAAGAATGCCCAGTGAAATAGAAATCTTTGTGTAACAACTTCATCCCGCCCAGAAATATTTTGTAATAGCTTAAGAAGCCAATGAATGAAGGCAGACAGGCACCATCAAACTCATAGACATTTTTGGGGGATTCTAATTATTAACAACCAAAAGCTCACTTTTATTTAAACAGGCAACTGATTTTGTCAAAATGCTGCAGTTCCAAAGTTACAAATTTTATGTGTTTCCAAAGCAACTCCTATTTTCCAGCTAAAAATGGTAGGACAAATTTTCCCCTAGGAGAACATTTTTTTTAGAAAGTGTGATTTCTTTTTCAAATGATAATTTAGGAGCTTAAAAAATTAATTGCTGTGCTCTGAGTAACAAACATCACAGTTCCCACATAAACAAATTGAAATTGAAATCTGTCAGCATTCACTTCCTTGTGACATTATGAGGAATTGTAGTGAGAGGCACTACCTTCTACATTTGGTCTTAATCTTAAAACAATATTCTTTAAAAGTTGAGAAAAAAATTAAGTTATTTTTCTTAGGTAAGACAAATCATATGTAAAGGTGAAAAAAATGTTTGCTTTGAAGTTAAAAACTTCCTTAAAACAAAAGACAAAATTTTTAAAAAAAGTTTCTTTGTTGAATCTACACAATGAACAACCTACACTAAATAGATGAAAATTTATTTTGCACTTGGATGAATAATTTTCATTTATAGTTAGATAACAATCTGTGATCTGTGGGGTAATGAGTTGCAAATTGTGGTTTTCAGTTTCACAGATACTTTGGTTGCTGTGGTTTTGCAATATCATTTCCTGATACTTTTTCAACTGTGGTTTTCATAATCATTATTTGATAGTGATGTAGCTGTGGTTCGATGTCATTTCCATCTGCGCAGATAGTTGCTTATAGGTGTTGTTCTCTTTTTATACTATACCTTTCCAATAATTAAAAATAAAAGGATGAGAAATTTAATGTCAAATGGTATTAATGTTCTCATTACGATAAAAAGATGAGGAAATTCAAAATTTAATAGTCTTACTTCATTTAACTCATCTATAGTTTCTCTTTAAGACATTAAAAAGGGCAAGTTGAACTTATTTGACTACATATACTATTGCACATAATGTTCTCCACAAAATTACCAAGAGATTCTTGACTTTACATTTCTTAACTTTGTCATATTCTGATATCCAAGTAGGATATCATATGAAAATATTTGTTTCTTCTTGGCTTTTCCTATTTAACCATTTCTAGGACCAAAGGCAGTTAGCTAGGTGGTTCCATGGATAGAGTCCCTGGCCTGGAGTCAGAAGATTCCTCTTTCTGAGTTCCAATCTGGCATCAGACATTTACTAGTTGCGTGACCCTGGGCAAGTCACCTAACCTTTTTTTTGCCTCAGTTCCTCATCTGGAAAATGAGATAGAGAAGGAAACGGCAAACCCCTCCTGTATCTTTGCCAAGAAAACCGCAAATTAGGTCTCAAAGAGTCAGACAATTGAAATGACTGAACAACAAGGGCCCAAGGCAATACTTTCATTTATGATATTTTAATTCGAGGGGACATACTTCTGTATTACAGAAATCAACCAGTTTTCTGAGATCTTCAAATTTCCTGATCCCTAATATATCCAGTCTGAAGCATACCAATTTAGCTGAAATGACTTGAAAATGGAGAAAGAAAAAATTCATCTGTCTCATTTATTCAAGAAAACAAAAATAGCCCTGCTTTTGAGAGTGCTTATTGCCTTAATTTGTTGGCTCTTTGGGGCAAAGACTGCCATTTACTGCATCTTCTGTTAGTAAAGTATTATGATACCACCTCACATAATAGTAATGATAATTTAACTAATTGCAAAATTGATCTTCAGTTCCCGTGTATGTGCCACTCACAACACAGCCCTCTTACGCTTTACCAGAAGGTATCATTCTAAGGATGTAAATGACTCTTACGAAATTACCCCCTGCATGATGCAGGGCCTGAATCATGCTCAATCAATAGAGGCCATGCATCCACCCCCAAGCCCTTTTAGGGTATCAAATCTGGTAGGACTCATACCAACATTAGTAAATGGAGCTAATAACCCAAAACAACAGTGATATACGATGGAAAATCAGCATTGCTTTAACAACCCTCTAGGGACACAAATCTGGGGAATAAACCTATCAATTCAAGCGGAGTTTCAGTGATCACACAAAACAGTTTGCTCCATTCCGTCCCCAAAAGATTTCTCATGAATAAGAATAATTTTCTTTCTTCTTCTAGCACTCTGGAGAATATGTTTAATAATAATGAACATAAAAAAAAACTTTACTTGGTTAAAATCTTGATTATGCAAGGGGGTGAGGGGCTCACTTAAAAAAAAAAGACCTTCTTCTTGTTCCTTGTTTGCAACATGCTTCAGTTATCTCAGAGATGAACCAAAAGGTCAAGGACCCAGAAGTCCAGATATCAGACACAGGATCTACTTGGAAAATTATAGTGAGATAAAATCTTTTATTAATTATGTACCACTTCACAGTCACAGAGGAACCTAGAGATGAAAGAATCAAAGACCAGGTTTATGACAGGAGAGTGGTTGTTGGGCCAGACAGAAAAATAACTTCCCCAGAAATCATTATAATAAAGCCTCTTGTATACCATGCTTACTTGAGGTTAGATGCCAGAAGTGATTACATTATAAATGGCTCCTTGTATAGGAAATGTCATATTTTCCACTTAGGGCCTAACCATCTAGCAAAACCATCCTTTGCCTTGTAGAGTGTCTGTCTCACATACTCAGGCACCCTTAGAGCCAAATTGCTAAATATGACTTTACTACGGAAAACTTTAGGTGGGCTGGGAGGCCTTCCAAGTGCTCCTTGGACCACTAACCATCATCATTGGATCTGGCAGATTGGGGATGGATGGAATCTGCGTCTGCAGCAGTTGCCAGGGAGCGTTAGAGAGATGAAGTAGTCTCTCCTGAGATCCAGGGCAGATGAGAAGACTTAACTCTTCCCAAGAACACACAATTGGCATTTGTGATCATCTAGCTCTCAGAAGACTTTGCCAATGGCCTAATCTTCCTGCCAAGAAATGGAAGGGGAAAAAAAAGGGGGGGGAGGGGAGGAGGGGACAACCACAGAGGTGGGAGGGTGGGGTGGTATTAGTGAAAACACTAAGTTACTGGCCGATTTGATTTCCTCATCTCTTTGTGTTTCAGTATATAGATAGGGACTGAGGAAGGGGTGTTGGGAGAGCCGGGAGGAGGCTGTTTGGAAGAAGTTTCGAGGAGGGGGGGCGAAGAAGAAAAAAAGAAAGCATGGGTGGAAGGGACAGTGATTGCACCATCCCAAGATGTGACGCCCGCAGCCCATGGCCCACTGCCCCATAAAAGTCCTCAGACCCCCAGCTCCACTCTTCCCCTTCCTCTTCCCCCCACCCTCCACACCCTTCTCCTCAGCGTCCCATCCCACCCTTCCTGGCCCAAACTGGGGTCTGCATTTTGCATCCGGACTGGCTTCGGACGCAGCCAATCCTCCTTTGGCTGATGGAAAACTCTCCCCTCCCCACGGCCTCGGCGAGCCCCTCCCCTCCAGCTCCTCGGCCACCTCCCGCAGTCAGGCAGAGTGGATCGCAGCCCCTAGAGCTGCGGCGGCGGCGGCGGCGGCGGCAGCAGCGGCGGCGACTACAGCATCTGCACAGCAAAGCCTGGGAGAGAGAGGGGGAGAGAGAGAGCGGGCGCGCTCCTCCCTCTCCCTCCCTCCCTCCCTCCTTCTTTCTCTCTCTCTCCTCTCCCCCTCTTCTTCTCTCTTCCTT